TACAGTACTACTTTTATTATAAGGTTACGGTAACAGAATCTTGCAAGCATGAATGTGCTTTCCCCCTCCCTCCCTTACCTTTGTGAGAGCAAGGGAGGGTCTTGTCTGAGACATTTGCTTGGATTACAATTCTGTCCCGGTCTCAAATTTCTTTTATTTGACCATTGTTTCGGTAGTGGCTCTTCCTTCTGTTCCTGAAGGTTATTCCTTCTGCTCATAATAATTTCAACCTTTCCATCTTGGCAGAGTGTTTCTGGGTATAGAGTCGTCTTATATCTGCCCTCTAATATGACAAAGGGGAAAGGCTATCTGTGCCTGTGAATATAAGTTTTTGTAAATAATTGGATGGGGCGCCATTAATACCTTCTACCAATGAGCAATGGAAGTGTGATGCTTGGGCCATTTTCTGGTATTAACCATACTCATGGCATCATCATATCCCAGTTAGCTTAGATATTCAAGTGAGAAGCCATAGGGAATGAACTTTTGTTCACAAACTAATTGCCAATTTTCTCTCCAGGTGCAGGAGTTTTCATTTTTCTCTTTTTAATCCTGATCATTTTTGCCCATTTTCAGGCTTGTATAGATCTTTTTGAATCTTCTTTTTCTCTTCTAAAGTGCTAGGCACTCCTAGTTTTGTGGCAATTTCAGATTTGATAATCATTCCCTCAGTGCCTTCATTCAGGTCATTAAAAAATATGATGAACAAATCAAGGTCCAGAACAGAGCTCTTGTGTTACTCCATTGGATAGTGGTCTCCAATCTGATCTGGAGCCATTTATGAGTATTCTCTGGGTGTGGTCACTCAGCCAGTTATATTTAGCTCAGACATCAAGCTAACAGGTCTATATTTTCCAGCTTCTTCCTCCTTCTCTTTTTTAAAGATAGGGATGTTTATTCTTTTCCATTCTTTTGATACCTCACCAATTCTGTGTTAAAAGACAGTGACATAAAAACTATAAGCTGTTATAAAACCCAATCTATAAAAGTAATGGGGTTAACTAAAAATTAAAATATTTCATTAAATTTCAACATTAAATAAAGTATTATAAGTTAATGTACTGTGCTAAAAAATTAAGTGTAGTGACATAAGATGTCAAACTGAATAATTGGAAGTAAGAAATTACAGTATCGTAGTCAGACATGAACTATGTGAAACATATTTATCTCTATCCTATAAAATGCATGCTGCTGCATAGAACCTGGCAATATTACAGGTTATGATAGGGTTAGGGTGACACAACAGTAGGGAGAATCAGAATTGTTTTGTACAACCTAGTGAACAATGGGAAAATAAAGAGTATTGCAAATGTCTCTGTTCAGTGAGGAGATGAAGCTATGCTTGGCAGTTTCAAGTTGCCTGGGATGGTGGGGCACAGATTTTCCTGGAAAGGGATCTACCTTCCATAGTTAGAGGGAGGGTGCTAAGGTGAGCAAGAATAAGGGCCTTTCCAGAGGGACTGAGAAAGTAGGCATTTCTAAGCCTATAAACTACACAGCATGCCTCCTGAATTTAGTGTGGTTTATTTTGGCAGCAGTATATTAGACATGTAGTGAAAAGTTTTGTAGAGCAGTGTTGCCTTTTGTGTTGTATGGTAATTACAGGATATAATTTTAAAACATACACAAGCTTAGTTTTATAATGTATTTTATAATTTTTCTTTAAAGGTGTTTTGAAAAAATCTGATGGCTGGGTTGGCTTAGGGTGCTGTGAATTAGCTGTTGCTGTAGAATGTCGACAAGCATGTAAACAGGTAAGAGTTGGTTGGATCCTCTCTTTTGGGGGAATGTGTATATGGTGCTAATATAAGAAAAATTTATATTAGCAAAGATTGGCATCACAGACTTGCCTTCTGAAACACTTCTATTCTTCCAACTCTTTTCTCCACAGTTTCTGCTATAAACTGTATTGAGCAAGGAGAGTTATGTAAGTGCTTTGCATTACCTCATGATATGACTTTTTTTAGCGGGTGCATTCTTGCAAAGCAGTAAGCTACAAAAAGGGGTTAAGAGGAAGGTGTGTGCAGCTTTTACCTTATAATACATGGCTTGTTAACCAGAACTAGAGAGTTGCCTGTGGTTTAACATGTAATCCGAACTGTGTCAGTGATTTTTGTGGAAACTTGAACTGAAACCTACAAAAACTTCAGATTCTGCTTCTGCAAATCAAAAATGACAGTTGCTCCAGGTTCAGATGACAAATTAAAGCTCAAACAAGCCTCCAGCTTTGATTAGTGATTTCTACACTGGGGATAAGATGGCATACCCGGGTTCTTAACTATAATTTACCTGTGGCTTAGCAGGTTGTGCAAATAGCATCTCATAAGTATTATTCTGATGCCTGTGCTGTTTATTATGCTTTATTCAGAAACAATTCTGCCTTGTACAGTCTTAGAGAGCTTCTGATTTCCTCTAGCCCTTAATAATATTTCCTGCTCGGCTTCATATTGTGCATTGACCCATGGTTTGCTTAATCATAATTTGTTAAATAAATCATAGTTAACTAGACTCTCTTAATACATCAAGTCTCAAAACAAACCATAATGGTTGAGTTTATAGTACTCTAAGCCAAAATCAAACCAACCAGTGCTTAGCATGACGTGCTAACTTTGACATTGAGGTAGTGCTTCCAAATGCTTTGGGGAAGTTGGGGCTGCTCCACAGAGATGAGTTTATTATTCCAGCATAGCTGGGGTAGTACCTTTTAACCAAGTCAGTGAACTTTCTGTAGTTCTGCTAACAGTTCCCATAGTAACAAATGCTATTTCAGTTAAAAAAAATTGTTTGGTTTCTTGAATCAGAGTCATCTTCCCTACTCATGTTTATATAGATGTTGATATTTGTTTTATGAATCAGTTTCTTTAGGCTTAAATACTTTCGATAAAAAAAAAATCCATTAATCGGAAGGAGAGCTTGTATACTTCTCCAGTCCAATTTGGTGCAGGAATTCCATAGATGGCTCTTTTATCTTATTCATGCCTTCAGTAATCATCCCCACAGATTGATCTTGTCTTTTATTGATGACCTCTAGTGAGAGAGTGCCTGCCACCACTCTAGAAATTGCTTGCTTTGAAAATTACCATCAAAAGTTTCTTCTAATCTTCAGCAAAAATTACCTTCCAAAACCATAAACCCATTAGACCTCTAAAGTAACTAAGAAGTTTTGTCTGTGGAGTAGTCCTTTAAAGTTCAACCATATTCCTCCTCAATCTTAACTTTTCTAAGCTAAATAGATCCTTTTTCCTCAGACTTTTTTCATAAATTTTTCCTGTACTGTCTTCTCTGACCTTCTAAAAATGCATTACATTTTATTTAGATTCTTTTTAAAATGCAGAAACTGGGTTTTAGTGGATCATGTACAGGTTGGTCTTTCATGCTTTATATTGCTGACTGGCTCCTAATAGCACTTACAGAGGATTGATTTGTTTTAGCATATTGAAACAACACTTCGTGTCAGTATAATAGTGTAAACCTGCAAAAATCTTGCCCTACCCTAACTTGAGTTAGTTTATTGGAGTATTTCTTAATTCCACCAAGTGGTCTTTTTTTTAATCACTGGAGAAATCCACTTTTGTTTCTTTCAAGGCAAATAAAACACGTCTTAATATCCATAGTTGGAGAGATTCATCAACTGACTGGCCACATAATTGTCATAACAGCAGTTCTAGACAATACACACCTGTGTCTTATTTTCTACTTCAGTCCTGTGCTTCTATCTCAGCAGTAAGGGCAGAATTTCCAAACAGATCAAGGTCTCTTTCCAGTGAGAGAAGAAAATCCTGCAAAGTCAATATTAAGCTCTCCTTAATGTGCTGGATATTATAACTCTAGCAAAAGTGTTTTCTTCCTGATCATCTAACTTTGCCTGACAGCATGGGGGATTCTTTTTCATAAAGTTGAACCTAATGTACCCCAGGTGCTTAAAGCAACAAAAACACTGCCTACTTAAATTTTTATATGATTAAACAAGAAGCCTTGTTGGTTTTTAGTCTGCTTTTGGGGATAGATCTGATTCAAAACCATTTATGTACAGGTAGTCACTGACCACTCATTCAGTGACCATTCGAAGTTATGACGGAACTGAAAAAATAACTTTACAACCATTTATGACATTTGCAGCTTTCCTCAGTCATGTGATTACCATTACAGTCAGTAAACATCATGTATCTGACCTGTTGTTTTTCCTTTTTCCCCCCATTGCAGAGTGGAGAGATTAGAGAAGAAGTGATTAGAGAAGAATAAACAGGCACACAATGGGGAATGCACATCAAAAGCAATACACTGGTGCAAGCAGCCTCAAGCATGCTCGGCAAACAGCTGGTGTGTTCCCCACTGTGTGCCTACTTACTGTACTCTCTTCTAATCCCCTCATCTCCAATCTCTCTGCTCTGCGAGTGGGGGAAGGGCAGAGGAAAGATAGCCTGCAGAAATTGCTTGATGAGCCCCTTCTTTTCCAGAGGGTTGAGGGGAGGAGGGGGGCTGTGGTTGGCACGTGGAAGAGGGAGGAGGGCAGGGAAGCATCGGAGTGACTTGGGCATTGATGGGGGCAGGGGGAGAGAGGTGCACAGATGTTTCCTCTCTCTTGGTTTACAGACCTGGGCAGGAACATTTGGATGGGAGGAGATTGGCAAGGGGAGAAGCGGGGGCTTCCAGTCATGCATATTGTGGGGCAGCATCTCTAGCTCAGTATAGGTGCTGGAAGGCAAGGAGGAGGAAGCAGTGAAGGATGGGATGTGGAGTGTAAAAGGATTAGGGTGAGTACAGTAAGCAGGCACACAATGGGGAAAACACAGGCTGTTTGCTGAGCACACTTGCACCTGCTGACACCAGTGCATTGCTTTCGATGTGTATTCCCCATTGTGTGCCTACTTACTCTCTTCTAATCCCTTTCTTTCCAGTGAGTGTAAATATGAACATTAATTCCCTTGGCTGATGTGGGTCTTCCGGGCTGTGTAGCCGTGTTCTGGAAGTTTTGGTTCCTAACATTAGGAACCAAAACT